TGTCTCACGGCCGTCCTTTTTTTTGTTTTGTTTTGCAGTCGCACCAATGACACGCCGAAGAAAGAGTCCCCCTCCGTTCCTCCAACAGGTGCTAACCCTACTGCTTCTGCTGCCGCCGCCGCTGCTCCCGCAGCTGGCGGCCCCCCATCGGTCAAACGTGCGGATGAGTGGAAGGACCCTTGGCGACGATCAAAATCCCCGAAGAAGAAGCTCGGTAATTCCGGCTCACCCAGCCGAGGCCGCAGGCGACGTCGCACCTCTGCTTCCACCGAGTCCGGCTCCAATTCCTCCCGGTAAGCGGATCGTTTGTGCCCCAATAATCCCGAAGATCGTGACTTGTTCCTACCGCCTGTTATCCCTTGAAGGAGGTCATACCACGGCCCTCCGACCGCAGATCTCGTTACTTACATTTCAGCGGAACTTTCAGTTAAATAGAAGTTCACAATCTGAAGTACAAACACACCCGGGACGTCTTTTTAGGGAGCGTTCACACATTCACTTTGCAGGAACGTAGGTTACATGCCTTGGTGCGCTGCAGTGTTGTTCATTTTCAATGGCACTACAGAGTATCTCTGAAAGCACACTCAAAAAATGCAGCAGGTAGGATTTCTGGTCAATTGTGGTGCCTTAGGCATTCCATTCAAATGAACAGAGGCTGTCTTAAGGCCGGAGGTCAGATATAAGACTGGAGGGAAGGACGGAGGTCAGATAGAAGGCTAAAGGGAAGGACAGGGGTCACATAAAAGGCTGAAGGGAAGGACGGAGGTCAGATAGAAGACTGAAGGGAAGGACGGAGGTCAGATAGAAGGCTGAAGGGAAGGACGGAGGTCGGATAGAAGGCTGAAGGGAAGGACGGAGGTCGGATAGATGGCTGAAGGGAAGGACGGAGGGCAGATAGAAGGCTGAAGGGAAGGACGGAGGTCGGATAGATGGCTGAAGGGAAGGACGGAGGGCAGATAGAAGGCTGAAGGGAAGGACGGAGGTCGGATAGATGGCTGAAGGGAAGGACGGAGGTCAGCTAGATGGCTGAAGGGAAGGACGGAGGTCAGCTAGATGGCTGAAGGGAAGGACGGAGGTCAGCTAGATGGCTGAAGGGAAGGACGGAGGTCAGCTAGATGGCTGAAGGGAAGGACGGAGGTCAGATAGATGGCTGAAGGGAAGGTTGGATAGAAGGCTGAAGGGAAGGTCGGATAGAAGGCTGAAGGGAAGGACGGAGGTCGGATAGATGGCTGAAGGGAAGGACGGAGGTCAGACAGATGGCTGAAGGGAAGGATGGAGGTCTCCTATTGGGAAAGTAACAGTTTTGTCCCATTTTTAGGTCCTCCTCGCGGTCGTCCTCCTATTCCGGTTCCGGATCTTCACGTTCCAGATCATCCTCCTACAGCTCGTACTCCAGCCGTTCCTCGCGGCACAGCTCCTTCTCCGGCAGCCGGTCCAGGTGGGTGCTGGCGTCCTCTCTGTGTTCCGATTGGTCATCTTACATAATAATGCAGAATTTTGCGTTTATTTTTTTAGTTTTGGGTTTTTTTTGTTTATTTTTGACAATGAGAGTGGAGAGACCGGTTCTTCCAGCCGCTGGAAACGAATGCTTTCAGGTGTTGAAATCTTCCAGGCTTGGGTTTCTGCGCCGTCATCCTAAAACATTTACCAACACTTCGAGTCAAG